GGGTTTTCTCTTTCCCACTCTTTTATTTTTAAGAGTGATGGAAAGAATGAGTCGTCCATGTCATCAGAATTCTTACATCTTTGTTAAAGGAAATAAAAGTTAATAAAAGAATCTTAACATATCTTCCAATTCTAGCCATACATAAGAATAGATCTCAGGCTTTGGGGTTGTTCTTTTTAGAGATCTAATTAAGTTTCCAGACCAACATTATATAGCTATTCTCTCATTTTGATACGATCTGTAGGGGAAAAAACTGGAAAAGGTGAAGCAAGACAAGGACTGGTGGAGGGCATTTTAAGAAAATTTAAAAATATGAGATTAGTATCCAATATCCTTTATCCCATTTGGAACCATTAATTTCAAGAAATTGATTGACATATATACTTATTAATGTTTTGTATAACATGATAATTAATAGGAGCCAATTCACATATTAGCTGGACTTGGATTTTCTGGAAAGATTTTAGTTGAGGAACAGGAATAAGATTATAATAGCTTTCCAACTACTACCAACTATAGTTTCATTGGCTGTTATCTTCAGCTCCCTTAGCTGGGCCTGGAGGTCCAAGTTCATCTCCAGATCAAGGAGAGCCTGGGATATGCCAGACTCATACCGGTCTGGCTTCTCACCACTGGGCTTCATTATCTTTGTGCTTGAACTGAGTATGGCCTTTTCCTTGGTGAGTGCTGGCCTAGCCACTGTAGTTTCTTATTTGCTTACCTAAAGAAACCAGGCGTATATTAAAAGCCTCAGTCTTAATGTATTTTGGCATTCCTTGTGCTCAGCACAGTGCCTGGCTTATAACAGGTTTCGAACTAGCTAAGGTTAGTCTGAGAAAAATTACTTGTTCATCTTTTTAAAAGTGTGTGCATGCAATCCTTTGAATCCCAAACTGCTATGGTTGGAGGGGATCATTTATAATTTTCCAAAGTACAGATGAATATAATGTGATACATCAAAAATACATATATGATTTTCTAAGTCTTAGTTTCCATAGGTCTTTGAGAACATCATTTATTAGCTATGTGACTGTGGGTAAATGGCTTAAGCTTTTTAAGCCTGTTTCCTTGTCTTTAAATGAGTTATTGTGAGGATTAAGTGTGATAATCCATATAAAGTGTACAACATAGTGCCTGTTAACGTTAAGCACTGAATAACTATTATTAATGAAATGAATTATTAACAATGGCTTACATTAATAAATGGCTTATTAACAATGAAATGAAGTATTGTGTGAGGAAGTGCTGTAAAGTATATTAGATGCAAGGTGTTGCCATTATTGTCACCATTGTTATTAGGATATAGAATAAAAGCCATAAATAAATTGATACTAATACTAGCAGAAGAACTATAAATTAAACGAGTCAATTCCACAGGTATTGCGATGTTTGGATGGGTTATTCGTGTATATTATTATACAGTACACACTTTTAGCGTACTAAAACTAAAACCTGGACTACAAGTCCCATCATTCTGAACGTCCTCGCAAACCCTGAAAAAAAAAACAAAAAAAACAAAAAACAACTCGACCTGGACGAGGGCCGAAACCACACTTCCCAGAGTGCCTCACTTCCACATCTCCACTATATATATAGTCCATCCGGGTTCTTCGAGATGCTGTTTGGCGACTCGTCGCCATTCCCGGAGCAGCTCGGCCTCGGCCCAGAGGCGAGTGTCGGTCGCTGTGTCGGAGACCCCGGTCCCCGACACCAAGACAGCCAGCCCTCTCTCCTGCCCCGCGGCGGGAGAGCGTGTCCGGCCGGCCGGCGGGGCTCGCGCACCCTCTCTCGCCTCCCCTTCCCCCGCAGCCTCCGCCCCGCCAGGC